ATGTGTCTGCTGCAATTAAAGCGGAAACTAGTTGAGTGCCACAGTGGGACGACAGCAACAAGATTGCGACTTTTATACTTCATGGAAGTATACGAAGCAAGTGAAGGAAGTATTCTGAACAAGGCCCTTCAAAATGGCATCTTTTCGGGCAGATTCCCACGTAAAGGCTTATGTTGTATCTATAACACAATTTGGCGGACACTGAAATACATATATTAGGTCGATATAGCATACTTGGCCCACTGTATACTGCTGTGCAATGTGCTCTGCCCATAAGAATACAAAATACTTCTAATTAGTTTTAAATCGATGACCAGAAACGTGCAGACTTTACATTGCCTCGCGCCGCATCCACGAACCAAAAATGATTAGGAAACATTGTAATGGAGTGCAGGATGCAAAACGGTCGCAAACATCAATAAAATCTACGCCGGGGAAAGACAAGCATAAACACCATTGACGGAGAAAATTCAAAGAGCTTGGCTTACAGATTTCGGAATTAAATGAGAAAATAAAAAATAACGTTTTTTATCTAGTGCAGAATTATGTTAATCGCCTCTGTTCATAATCATATAAATATGAAATTTTAATTTGTAGACTGTCCTTAATTTTTTTATACACGAAAGGGACATATATAATCCTATATGATACTTTTTTGCATTTATAAAAATATTAAAACTGACTGGTTGACTTACTGACTAACTTAATGACTGATTATAGAAGCACAGCTGTAATTCTTAGAGCTTATGAGCAATATTTGACAGTGTCTACCTTCTTACACAAAGAAAATGCTGAGTCGCGGTTTAAGAACTTTACTTCAGTTAGTATGTCAATTTACAGTAGGACAGTCCGGATTTTTAATATTTTTTTTTTTTTCCGCATTAATTGTGGTATATTCCATGTTTTGTCGCTGTTGCTTCGACCGTAAGTTTTGCAATGGGTCAGATTCGATGGTGCAATGTCATTTCCCCCACGCTCTGGACAGGTATCTAAATGGGTGGCATGAGCTTACACGTAAGCAGCTTATATTAGTCCGCTTTATTCTGGTTCGTTGTGTTTTGAATTTTTGGTTGTTCATTTTAACGCTGTGTTCTTTGAAGTTTTATAAAAACGAAGATAAGTTCGATCTGTTGTATTATAGCTCGGGAACACACACTATTGCTCACCGTCTGGTCTAGGGCAATAGTTTTCTCGATTTAATGTGAATCACAAAAACGAACGAACTAACGATCGTTTGGAAGGGAAATCAAAATCTATTAAAATTAATCATCTGCCTAAGTCTTTGGCATATAGTTATATAATCTGGTGGTCCATCACCTAATATTTATAAATATAATTGCCACATACAATATTATTTCCACAAAATATACTACCAATTGTCATTATTCTTATTGTCAGCAGTGATATACACAAGCTTCCCAGACAAAAGCATATCTAAGCACAGTTTAAAATCTCCAACCTGGCTACCAGCGTATAATCTACAAGAAGCAGCTGCAACACATTGTTTGTAGCTTAGAGAGTGGTATCTAGCTACTACTGGGAACAGTTCCGCTTTGTTTATTTTGCATACGCTCTACTCGGCGCGTTAACACGCCGCAAATCCTCCATTGGTACGTTGTCTTTCTTTTCTTGTGGTATGGTCGGTGTGCAAGTGCGGGTGCTTACGTAAATTTGTGGAAATGCAGCAGTAAAGAAAGACGTTGCCTCGATTATTTAAATAAATCGTTGCATACTTTGCGGCTGAAGGCGGCCATCAACGCCACTTGCTTTTTATACCCTGCACCCATGGGCTATGGAAGGCATAACTTGGATTTGTGCAAATGTATATAACAGGTAGAAGAAGGCACCCCTGGGCCTATAAAGTATATGTCGTCGGATTTAGAGACTACAAGATTTATTTGTGTACTCCCAGCTTCGGATGAAGGCCAGAAGGCAAATTATGTAAAGTAGAAAAAGTGAGATTCTTAGAAGTATAGCTTTGCACTTTAATATATATAAATATATATCATATTAATGTGCAGCATTATCAAATAATGCATTTCTTATAGTGACATAGTGTAGAGGCAACAAAGAGGAGGCCCACAGTGTTACGTGCAAAAATTGTATGTTTATTCTTTAATACAGAATATCTTCTAGTCGGGCACGCTTACTCTTGCTCTGTTCGTAGGAGAGCATGGTAGGTGCCGACTTAAAATCTCATTTGAATTATGCAAAACGCACGACAGTCGCGTCGTTGTCGCACTCTACTGCATTCTTAATAGCGTTTTAAGAGCTGCAGATGCCAAAAAGGTTTTGCAATAGTTCGTTTCCAACAATACCTTGCTTGTAGTACATAAACGCTTCGTTGCCCACAACCTTTGATCCAGTTGCTGGATACCTGATCAAAACAGCCCAAATTGTAAAAATGATCATACTAAACTTAAACAACGTTATATATTAAGTTCAAATCAACCAACTTTTTAAATAATTGAAAGGATCGTCTTTTGCCCAAATGTATATATTTAAAAAAAAAAAGCCAACAAAAATAAAGCGTTTCAAGAAGCAGCTCCTCGTAAATATGCATACGCCTAGCTGGATAATCGAGCCTGGCTGGGTATTTCAAAAAAGTGTCGTTCTTTGTTTCAAGCGCATGTTTCATAATCGTGCAGAACAAGGCTGCGAATGTGAGGCCAGCGCCAAACTCTATTCTAAACTAAGGAGTCACGAACTGCGTCCTTTTTAACAGCTTCGAGCAATTGCAAACGTAAATCAAGTGCCACATTTTGCAAGGACAGACTCGGCAGCTTGCTCTGGCAATATTTGCAATTTTTAACAATATCAAACTTGTGTGTGACTGCCAGGGCCAACCAGTGTGGCATAGATGCGTACTTGCATTGTGCATCAGGTTTTGCAGCAATGCAACAGAACTGTTGCAAGTTACAAGGCTCGGCGTAAATTGCTGGCTGGTTGCCAGCTGTTGACTGCTGTCGAGCAAACAAGTATAACAACAACAGCTTTATTCACAATTTTGATTTGTAATTTGAAATACCCTGGAAAATCGGTAATGAAATAGGGTGTATAACAGTAGGTTTTCGACCAAGAGGTTTCCGACCCTATTGATCAGCAAATACAGTGGAGTCTGTCTGTCAGTCTGTCCGTTTTGTAATCTGTCTAAGCTCTGACCGCGTCGATCTCATTAAAGCAAATAGTGTAAGAATATTGACAAAGTACAATGAATTTTGTTCATATTGTTCTGTCGCCGATTGCGACTGTTTTTTACGCATCTTTAAAAAGATCAGAGCTTTAAGACTGCTGGACATTACGATAAAATTGATACACTTTCTTTAACGTACGATTCTTTATTCAAAGCTTCAAATAGGTGGAAAAAATAAGTTGTTACGGACAATTGTATAGACAGGGAGGAGCATTGCAGCAAAACAATGTGCTCGTTCCGCTGAGTGAGCAGAATATAAATTACTTATTTTACATATGAGGGTAAAGAGATACTACGGTAAATCCCGCTTGTTGGTATATATTTTATAAATCGAGTGTATGCCAGCTTTAGTGGGCTCTAGCATCAGAGACAATATTTTTTCCGTGACCCTGCACTAATGGCTAGCGCTGAGTGGATGCAACAAAGCGTGGGTCGAAAGATACAAGGATGCAAATCCAGAGTCTGGATGCCATAGGGCAGAAGCAGCAATTGGCGAAAGATGGGTAACTGCGGTAGGCTACATAAAAGTTCATAAAGCGAGGAGGCTATGTGGACTCTAGAAACATTTTTAATTGCGTATTTTATAGATACACCAGTACACAGCAGCAGCAGCGGCGACCTACGTGAATGCGATGGAGTGTAGTTGTATTTTCTGTGACCGCTGGCTTTTAGCATTTGTTTGGTGCGAAAATGGCAACCGGTGTGCAGTGAAATATGCAGAGCCCAACAACAATACCAGCATCAATAGAACAACGAGAATACGCAAACGCCATGTGGGCCCATTTGAAGTTGTTGGCGTATACATAATTTTTATTTTACAAGCCAAAAGCCAAAGGATTAGTCGCTAAAAAGCATTCAGCGTCAGCAGCAACTGTTGAAAAGAGACCGAGTAGGCAGAGTTAAATTGCATAAAATGGGATGAAAAACTAAATTGGCCTGCGTTATGTTAGCAGCCCATTTCTGCGTTCTTATACAAAATTTTATTCAATCAAAGTAAATTTAATCAAAGGCTTTGACTGTTTTTGCTTTGAATAAAAAATATTATTAATGGGCTCAAATGGACCACAGCTGTAGAGTTGATAGGATTAAAAATAGACTATGCACTTAAAACATAAACTACTTCGTACCTTTTAGAAGCTTGAATACAACTGGCTGATCCCTGAGAACATTCAAAATATCTATCAAGCCTTTAATGTCGTTGCCAGTATCATCTTGTTTGTGTTTATTCACAAATCGCTTGCCAAATATCCATGTGCAGAATCTTACCATTTTGTGCGTCCTTGCTAGCACATTGAGCACACACTTGTATGCCTTTTTGTATTTTTAGAAACGTCGTCAAGCACGTGTATGAACAAACGTTTGAAAAGTGAAAGGCTCACTTAAAATATAGCTCAGTAAGAGTCGCATTTCCTTTGCTGTACTTTTAAATGTCCTTCTCGGGCATGTATATGCATTATCAGCCATGCGTAAAAATCAGGACGAGCAAAAGCTATTGTCCATATTTAGCATTTTTCACACAGCACACTAAACTAATCATGATAATCTCCGCGTAGCTTGCGATTGTATTTGTGGGTGTAGTATTTGGTCAGAAAGAAAGAAATCGCACATTTTGTGCATCGCCATTTGAGTGTGAATGTTAAGATAAGAATTTGAAAATATAAATGCACAAACACACAAACAGATCTTTGACATATTCAAGCTTAAGCTCAACAGTTAACACTAGTTCACATCGGAACTTGTTGAGAATCAAACTTTTTAACCTCATTTAAACAGTTAATTTGGAGAATCGAATATAGGTAAAACTTACTAGACAAATCCTTTAGTTTTTCTTTAGTTCGTAGCTCTCAATCCGATTCAGATAGTGGGAAGTCTTGCGATAAACGTCATTCTATCAAATTCAAAATGACGCGTTCTATTTTGAAAAAAATGTCGATTTGCTCCATGTTTGTTTTGCTCTATATTGTTAAAAAGTGCGATCGGGGAATACATGAAGCAGACATTAAGGCTACATTCGATTTTCGCCGCTATGCCATCTATGGAGCTCTTCAAATTTTGGGAAAGCGTCGACCTCTTCAAATTTATCAACGCGTGCTTCAAAATTTACTCAAATGAGTGTGTTGAAAAATTTTCTGCCTAAATATAAATTTATTGTATAAAAAATCATTTAATAACTTCTCTCTGCAAGAAATCAATAGAAAGGATTATCTAGAAATAGTGGAAGTATTTTGGGGTCTTTTTAAAGTTGTCGTATGAATGTGAAAATGGAAAGGGGGAGAGGGATATTCGAGTAGTTCAATTGATCCCAAACTTTGTGAAGCTTTTCATCTCCTCTTTATGTGTTTATATGAGTGACAGTGATTTAGAGGGTCAAGGGTGTGTGAGGCCAGAAGATTCCCTGAACCTTCTACCAAAGCTAAGGAATCGTAGACAAGAAACACGCTCATTTAATAGTAAAAGTAATCACTTGAATTATTAAAAATAAAAAACTCGCGCCCTCGTCATACTCATACTTAAGCGCCATATTAAAATTTCAGTCAATACACGATATAACTGAATTAGAGACAAGAGTCCCCGACTATAAGATACCCTGAACCTTTCTCTATAAAGGCTTAGTCAAAAATACATTTCTCACTGATGATTTGGGTAATTTTGTTTGGTGAATTCCAATACACACCACCTCATACCCTAACGCCTTTCCAACCTGCTAAATAAGCACTAAAATCTGCAATTATTTTTAAAGGCTTCAAAAATTCACGCATATGAATGAAGAATGATGTGGTTCCAATCGATATTTTAGTCTCGATCGACTGGATTATTGTTGCTGAGCAAGATAATGCTTTACGGGGTCGGAGAATCTTCCTTCTGCCTATTATATATATTTTATCATGATATTCTTTTGAATTTGAATGTATGAAAATATTTGTTCGTATAGATCCCTGACACAGGATTCATCATAGTGAGCCACTCCCGACTAGCGCAATCTAAACTTGTCTATTCAAGAAGTGAAAAGAAAATATCAAAGTATTCGTTGGCCCTGCCGATGAACGTAATTTTAGATATCAAGAACCAAAATATGGTAGGTAGTACACTTATCTCCCCAAATCTCATCCGAAATACAAGATCGCGCCAAATACATTGGACCATGAACCATGAACCATGATACCATGAACGCGCAGGATCCTTTTGTTTTTATTCTTTACCAACTGAATTTATTCATTTTATTTTAATTTTAAATCGTAAAAGCAAAACAATTAAAACGAGAAGATTCGAACAATACAAAGACTTGGAAGATCTTGAAGTAACTACTAAATTTGACTCCATGTAGATGATGACTGAAGAAATGGTTGTTGAATAATGCTTCTTCTTTTTACCTTTTTTGCACTGTTTGTGCAGTTCGTCGGCGTAGGAAAATTGAAAGGGCATACAAAACATTAGGATGGAACTTTCAATCTCCAAAGGATAGTTCCGACCATTACAGTAGATCTTGCCCTCATTTAGCACAATATTGTAACAGTTAGTCAACGGACCCTCGTAGAAAACGATGAGCAGCATTGAGGGTCCAAAATGATCAGCCCGCTGCCAGATAGAGTAGGGCGTGTGTAAGGCGGGATGTCGATCCTTATAAAGCAGCCGCAAGTATCGTTCATACGATCCATGACAGACGAACTCCATTATTTTACCGTCTATGAAGGAACAGTTGTTCAAGCCTACCGAATATGTTTTCGCGGGATAAAGAAGTAGCAGCAGCCAGCAAGCAATCAAGTTGATATTGTAAGCTCCTGCGCATTGGGGACTTACTGGCATGGCCTACAATATTCCAGCAAATAATTCTGAAGGCATTTTTGACTATTTTTTCAGTAATGAGACACCAAAATCAATGTAAACAAATAAAACTGCTCTAGTCGGGAGTTCCCGACTAAAAGATACCCTATGGCCAGCGCCGACCTGTCGTAACATACCTCGCCACTGCCTTCTGTCAACACTAATCGAAAAAAGGGGAGAAAGGATTTACCTAAACAGAAAAACTTGCTCTGCGCGCGACTTTAACGAATATTTTTCAGATCTACAGAGAAGCGAACATGTCTAGATCCAGTCGGCTCGCCGCTTTTATCAAAAATATATGTACTTTCCAAGACGATAGTGCCTTCTGTCTATTACATACACATACAAGCCACTATTTAATGGTTTCAGGGTATAAAAACACCTCCTTCTTACCCTTTATCAATCATGGAAATAAAAGACAACTAGGCACTGCTAGTAAAAGAGAAGTCTTTCATTTATAGCACCACGCAGCAATTGTCCAAGCGAGTAATCTCTCAAAGAAAACGGTTTGTTGTGAACACTTATCGTGTTGCACATTCCACGCAAGATTTGACTTTAGACACAGTTTTGATTTTAAATATGAAAGATAGGGTTATGTAAGAAAAAGCAGATTGAAAGGACGCATTCTCCGGTCGATATTTTTCATGACTATTTTGCAAATAGGTGTCTGGATTTCGTTGATACAGCTTTGGATTTCTGGTTGTGGATTGTTAGAGTAGACCCTTGACACTGAATAAGCCCATTAAATAAATCCAATGGTCTTTTACAGATCTTATGCACGACGCCAAATTGATATTCTTAAACTTTCAGTACACTTACGCACTATTCCGATATTAAAAAATCGACTTGCTTTTAGGCCGATAGTGTGTTTAGCATCTGAAATTGATGAGGTCCCTCTGAACTTAACAACTCCTCTTCCAGTTGACAAAGATATCTCAATTTTTTTAGCTAAGTCTTTGAGCCTTAGTTTGCAACTTAAAAAGTGGAACTTAACATAGGTTCCTGGTTTTAACTCTCCTTTCAATTATCTTATTTACAAATTTTTAAGCATACAACGAAAATTCAAACTTTTTGTTTGTTATATAGAGATCATGATTTTTGGAGCTATTCACGTATCCCCCAAAATTGAACAAGCCGCTTGTCTAGTTGTATAACTGTCTGAGTTTTTACTTAAATTCGGATGCCCTAAAGATTGTAAGAGGTACGGACTATAAGCACCAAAGCTCTTGAATTAGAATGAATTTCCCTCCATAGAGTGAGAAGCAAGTGGCGTGTTTTTAGTTTTAAAGAATATGGTGAAAACAATTCATATGATTTTGTGGTCGAATTGAATTCGAGATATCTGGTAGTCGGGCATTCTAGCCTCGAGCACTCTTTAATTGCATTCAATTCAAGTTGGACTAGAAGGTTTATCTATATCTCCGAACAATAAAAATTAAGGAAAATCCAATTCAAAGGATATCCAAAATATCGTTCATCCGATATTCCACCTCTGTTAATGGAATACCATAGCATCACAAAATGTGCGCTTTTATGAACTTTATTTGATACGTTTATACTTGATTAAATGCATTTAAACTGATATAAGAACAACAGCTGATAGAAGAACCAACATTTCCGGTATAATAGGCATATCCCCAATATTTACTTGATAATCGTAGCGGCTGTAATGCAGTATCGGTGTATTAGCCTCCTCGAAATTGTCACCCTTCCTGTTCTCGCAATGGGCGCGTAAAGCTGCTGGATAGACCAAATCAATGTGGAGGCAGTGTATATCTGAGTGTTTCAAATCAGACTGGTAAACGTAAAAGTTTTTTGCCTCCTGTAAAGTTTTAGCTGTGATTGTGAATTCCCCCCCCTTCAATTTTAACATTAGCAAGCCACAGTCGAAGAGGGGCGATTTGTGAAATGACACCAATAAAACAAGCTTTCCAGTTTCTGAGGTTTGCCACACTGTGTACGGAGTACCCTCTGGAGCTCTTAGATCTTTCCATTGCTTAGCCAATGACTTGGTAATAGTATTTTTGCAAACCTTGGTGAATATGATGTCATTAAATAAGGAACAGTTTCCTGTGTTATAGGGCGGTGTCAAACTGTTGTCATGACGGGTTTCTCCTTTTAATTGGCTCTGCAGCATACTCAAAATAAGCAAATTTAAAATCTCGCTTTTCATTGTAAATTTGGAATTTTGATTTACTAGCCTGCTTCACTAAAACTGACAATTATTAACCTGACAATCAGCTTTAGATAAAAGTTAGATTTCAACTTATCTAATATGGAACTATTGTGCAAGAACGCAGTTTATATAGCATGAAGCTAGGGGAAGAACGACAGACCGTTCACTTTCTGGGATTGTCATCACCAAATTTCTCAAGAAGCATAGCATAGCCATTTGGAATAGCTCATCATGCTGCTCATATTAACAACTCATGCCACTTAATAGCAAATAGCTGGAAAATATCTTGTAGTTCTTGGCACTTCAGTGCTAGGCGAAGGGCTCCGTTCAGCGTAAGGCAACAATTTGAATGAGCCGGAAAGACTTTCTAAGCTAATATTCTTAATTAGTTTTAATTGCAGCGACAAAAAATGTTCCTATTACAGAATCCACATGGGTTCAGAACCTTTATGCAATTGTATTTAACCGGAAGAATAATATATCTCTGAACTCACGATGATCAATAAGCAAGTTGATAGAGTCTTCGTGTCCATATGACTGAATTAACGAATCGATATCTTTCTATATACCATACATTTTAATAAAACTGAATTTACCTGAGTTAAAGAACTTTTCATTTGTATTTAAAATATATATTCTCTAACCCCGTGAATATATTTTGGCAAGTCAACTTTTAATTTCCATTCACTTTGAAATATATAGCATGTTTATAAAGGCTTCAAAATTACTGCAGGTGATATTTTTAAGTAGCCTGCATTATTCTGTGGCTATTCGTGGCTCATTTGGCAATTGCTCTCGCTACTTTGGAACTCGCCTTGAGATGCAGTGCACTGGACGGTTAACAAAGCAACTGGTACTCAAGTATCCGGACGGATATGCAGACACCGATATTCCGTATGCAATCTTTGCGCCAAACCATTTAATGCTGTTTGTTTTCGTTACAATGTACTACTCGCCAATCATGAACTGTAGCACTCTTAGAGTGCTAGACTCTAACAACTTCGAATGCGATTCGAATGACAAATTTAAATTGGCGCTCTCTAGGATGTTCTGCTACGACAAGCCCCTGACTTATACGGCGGCACTCAGAGACAACTGCATGAAAGCAAAGAACTTTGGACATCGTGCCATAGACCAATCTATTTTGCAATATGCGGATGCTCCATGTGTGAGTAGATCGGAAACAGCTAGGTGGTGGCTACTGCTCATTACGGCGATAGCCATTCTGAGGCCCGTTTAGCATTTGGACGATGACGATGACGATTACATTTCGAACGATTTCAAATAAGCTAAGGTTGAAATAAAGCCTGCTATGTGAAATCTTTCCATAGGGTATCGGAATAGAGATGCTCAATGTACATAGAAGGGACTGCCAGCTAAAAAAAAGTATCTTTGATGTACGTATAAATTATAAGATTGCAGCCAACCTATTTTGATTGATCTCACGTCCACAGGTTACAGATGAAGGGCAACAACAGATCTATGTGGTTGGCCTAAGCTAAAACTGTAGCGGTTCCGATAGCTCAATCGGGGGGCGAGTTCAAAAAAATTCCAGTAAGAGAAAAGGATTGCAGAATTAATACCGAAGAGAGTATGGTGTAAATATAAATAAAAACGAGCATATATAACCGACTTTTAATCAAGATTATATTACGATTCCTCTCGTGTATATTCGTTCCTTTTATTCGTTATTTTGGCACAAATTCATATTTACAAAATGCATTGATTCTATTGCGACAATGGAGCGACAAAAATGAAGTATATCCAACACTGACCCCAGGTGTACTGCACTAGCACATGAAAGGCAAAATTGAATTAAGTCAAAAATTGCGAAAAAAAATAACATAGAAGAAAATTGAAAACCAGTAAACATTCAGAGTTTGACATTCCGTGCCAATGCAAACCCTTCAGCAACTATTGAAAGCCAAATCATATGCTGTTTCTCGTTGGCTACACGCACTTTGCCGGTGGCAACACTCGTTGCTACTGCGTCATATGTTGATGTTGCTATTATGGGGGCTAACAAATACGGTCGTAACACGGTGACGAAGCTTATTTTAATTTTAATAAATGTCACATGACTTACAGCTGACGCTCGTGGCGCTCTCTTTGTGCCCAGCCAAGGTTCTTAGGGGCCTCTGTACTCTGCTATTGACAGATTTCTCGAACATAACGTTAATCTCACCGTGCTATAGTAGCTCACACTAGCATCACTTTGCTGATGAAACCGATGTCAAATACATGTGGAAACAAAAAGTAAGCCTTCATGCGTCGTAAATACTAATTACCTACCATATTTGGACATTTCAAACTTGCACAACCTTGTGAAGTTTGGAATGATTCGATTTAAAATGTGGGCACACAAAAGTGAAAGGGCAAAGTTTGGGCAGATAGCTTTTCCCAATTTGGGGTATGAAATGGAAAGGTATTGAATTAATAATAATAAAAATATAAATATTTTTAATCTGAGAACTCACATGTTGAATTTGGAGCCTCGATTTTAATTATACCTAAAAAACAAACCGAAACAGGGTTTTCGTGTTTCGTGTTTTACACATTTTGAAATGAAATAGTGTATATAAGAAAAAGCAACGCTGGTAAGTCAATTTAACAAACCCGTAGCTCAAAATCAGGTCAATAATTTAGTTTGTCATTTTAACGACACGCCAACCAAAACAGGACGCACCCAACCGGCACCCCAATCAAATTCAAGTCTCAGAATGTTTCGAACTCACGTGCCACAACAAAGACGAATAGCACCAACGAAAACCAGTAAGTGTTCTAGGGATAAACGACTTGGAGATACTCTGTAGCCAGTGTCAAGCTGTCGCAATAAAAAGAAAAGAGTTGCTGCTTGCTTGTCCCAAACGCTACACATATAACGATGTTATGTACATGGGAGGGTCAGAGACGCCTGCTTCTGCCTGTTACATACATTTTAAAATAACTAATATACCTACTTTATGTCCCATTTCAATGGCAACAGGGTGTTAAAATATCATACAAGTATGACAAGAAATAATAATATGTAGCAAAGTATTTGTGAGCGTTTTTCAAAATTTCCCAGGACAAAGGCGACAACCGATGAACCAGCTACGAAATGCATTGCGTGTTTCCAAAGTGAAGAGCAAAAATTAGGGGAAATTGATATTAAGAAATTGCATGAAATGTTTAAATGAAGCGTAAAAATAAACACGCCCGTCTAATGGACTGCCTGATTGCAGTCGTTGGGAGCCCACATTTCACATTTCACAGGCAATGGCCCCACCCTGAGTCCATATGACCCCAGCTTACGTGAAATGTGTGTTAAAAATTCTTGGAAAACTAATCAATGTCAAATGTATTTTGATTGTGTCGAACCGACGATGGCGCCTTACGACAAGCGACAACACGAACTGAGCAAAGCACCGCCCGCGAGCTTGACTGCAACAATTTGAGCCGTCGGGTTGGCTATCCAGTGAGCAGACGAGCGCGTGATTAGGAGAAATTAGAAAATAATTTGCTTTGTTGCTTGTAATCCGCGGCCATAAATTTCTAGAGACATGTGCTGCATAAAGGAGTGCCGGCAGCTCCTGGCGCTGCGATGTCAACAATGGTAACTTTACTATCTTTGGTCAACGCTTTTAAAATTTTACTTCCAAATGTTCGTCAGTATAAATCAAATTATGTTTCTATGATAAATCACCGAAACTCAACAATAGAAATTTAAAAGAAAAAGCGTTGAGCCTTGTAATAGGCACACATTCGGATGCTACATTTAAGCCGTGCACATTTTATTAATTTTGAACTTTAAGGCATTTTCCATAGTGCAGATCTAATGAAAGAAACTAAATCGTTTAATACGAAAAGAAATTACAATACATTTTTCTCTATGCCTTTAAAACACAACGTAAAATAGGCAAAGCAAGAACACAAGCCGAGCAGTAGCAGTAGAGACTCGTTCTCACGGGGCTTTTGATGTATTTGCAAGCAAATGGAGTTGAATTAAATGAAATACTGACATATCATGAAAATTCGGTTGACATTGAGTTGAAGTCAAGGGTCGCGTCGTCGCCACGACGTAATTTCCACCCTGGCCCCAGCAGCAGCAGCTGGCAAATTGACATTTCTACTTAACAATCGGCGCAGAGCAATTCAATTTTAAATCGGGTTTCGAGCTGCTTCTCTGCAGCAACAACTCATTATTTTTATTAATATGATTTTCGCTGCACTTGAGTGGACTGCAATTTTACATTTTATAATTTAAATTTTAACAGTGCGCTGGGTGATAAAGATGATGAAGATGCCAATGTCAATGCATGTCATTGTGTTCTCCAATGAACACCCATTTATCTGCAATTATTTGTTTTAAGCATTAAAAATACAAAAGCTGCGAGTCTGTTCAGCCCTTCGGCCTTCTCCAGCTCTGAATTGCTTCAGGCGCCTGGGAAAACGCTTCAGCCCTAATGAGCAACTGTTCATTGTCCTGGGACCTGCATCGGGTAGGTTGAAAATGCGCTTTTGATTGCTGCCGGCAAGGACTTCGACACAGTGTCCTGAATTATGTCAAACAATTCGTCAAGCCCAAGGCGGTGGATCAGTAAGTTGACTTTACAACAATTTAAAATTTATTTCACTACAATATATGGAAGATATAGGACGCTCAAAAAATAAACAGATACAACTCGCTAACATGTATAAACATAAATACACACTCTATTACCTATTATTGAGTAAAGGGATAAGACGATTTTTTAATTTAATACAAATTTAAAAGGTTAACTTAGTAAACAAAGTATTGCGCTCTTGGTTAACATCGACTGCTACGATTTATCTTGCCTGCTCGATCAAGACTTGCGAAGCAAAGTTTATTTCATATCTGCGACATGATTTGTTAAAATCTATGCATTAATTAATTTATCCGAGGACCACCCTGGTCAACCTGCTAATTAAAAAAAACTTTTGGATTGCTCTTTGAGCATTTAACCAGCACAACGTTGCGGGCAAAGCACCCTGCATCACCAAGAGACCAAAAACCAACCACTGCACACATGCAATATGTCCTTCTTGGAGTCATATGGCTTCGATGTAAAATGGGAAGCGGCCTCTGAGCTTTTCACTGGGTATTACAAGCATATGTGGGTGCGTTTTCATAATGTAACTTGAAAGGGTTTGGCTTGGTTTGATTGCGGTTGCTGCTGCAGTCGCTGTTGTCGTGGCTACTGCTACTGCACAGCTTGGATGCTTCACTTTGAATTGGAACGTTGGTTGACCAAGTTGACCCCGCAGCATCCTTTCTGCGTTACCCTCTAGAGTGAGCGAGAAATATATGGTTTTTAATAAAAATCAATTGCATTGTTTTAATATTATGTTAGCTACTCTCATTGTTGTGTCTGGTGAGTTTAAGCGGACCAGTTTCCATTTTACATATTGACCATGGCAACACATTCAAAGAAGGTTTTGAGTAGTTTTTAAATAGTGTCTACAGGATAAGATGGCTAGAGAAAGGATAAGAATTCTAATTGAATATACATATCAGGCTTAAGGAGACGTGCATATGATATCACAGAATATATGTCAAGGATGTCACGTCTCTAGTTGCTGGATCATTCGAGATCGAATGTTTTTATGGACAGATATATATATAGACGGGTAGGCGAATGGACGTATAGACACGCGAAGATCGACTGAGCTGATGATGATGCTGCCCAATGTCTGTTACTTATTCTTGTCCAAAACTATTCAACTCTTTTCTCTCCGTTTTCAAGGAGTACATGGTATACGTATAACCAATTACACTACGACTACATAGTCTTTCGTATGTTGTAGTTATTGCTTTTGTTGTCGTCGTTGTCAGGTAGTGTTTGTGCGAGTAGCTTTTGGGTTTTGTTTCGGGCGATTCAGCTGTCAGCCACAGCGCTCCGTGATGCCATTAGGCGTAAGTGGCATTTCCTTTTGAATTTGGTGGCATTTGGGTTTATTAAGCGAAAGAAGTAACGCGCTTGTCCATGTGGATAGTCTGGTTGGCAGGCTGCCGCCCGCCCACCCGTCTGTCTGGTCTCCGGTGATGTGCTCTACTCCGTGCTTGGCTCAGTGCTTGGTTGTGCACTTGGGGGATTGTTTGACGATGCTGAAATGGGTCAATATGTGGCTCTGCCTGCCGCTGCCTGGGGACGCCGAGATACTCATGTAATATTCACATGGACAGCATCGAGTGACATCTTTTGTGCCCTCACACGGATTGCAGGCGTGTTGGTTTTTGGTATGCATTTGGTTTGTGTACGCAGCGTCGACGCCAATGCCACCGCCGATCTCTGATGACCTTTGCCAGGTGTGCCGTGTGGCAATCGGAGGGTGTATCTGTGTCGCCTGCTCGTGACAGAGAAATTAAAGTCTTCTCTGAGCCCATGGACCTGCTCAATCATTCATTTCGCTGTTGATTATTTATTTAACTAATGGAAATATTTGATGCCCTCCCATTATTCGCTCTGAATAGTTAGTGTTGTCGTATCCCCACTCTTGCCTGTTTTTGCTTGTCTACGTGTGCCCCGAGATTTGATTCGTTTGTCAGAGCTCATCGGTTTCAGGGCACGTTACTTTTGTAACGATTTCATATACGTATACGTTATGTGTATTGACTCTTATCCGCCCCGTCTGCTGTTGCATAGGCTACGTGTCTTTTGTTAGCGAAATGTTTTATGTGGAGCTTCTGTCTCAGACATTTGTCCATATTGTCTAATTGATTTCGACTTTCTATGTGCACAGCATCTTTTGATTCGCCAGAACACGTTCTTCTAAAGTGGGTTTTCAGTGTCACCCTCTGTCTGTAATATTATTGGGTTCTTCCCAAATTCACAGAAAAAACATTCGAGATAAGAAAAGCTTTCTAATTCTAATATCAAATTAATTATACTTTATAATTATGCCTAACGATTTATATTTAAGTATTCACGGTCAGATATGTGAATGCTTAAAAGTGAAGAAAACCAATCCATTCGTGATGGACTGTAGGCACCTTTCATATTTTTTCAATCCAGGACTGAAGAAAAGAAAAACGTTCTTATTGCGATTTTACGATGAGCAGAAACATGCGAATGGTTTGACTTTTCCCACAAGTTAACAGGTCCGTCGCAAAGCAGTCCAACACCTCAGCTGACAAGAAGGACCCTGAAGGGCAGTGACTAACTGGTTGGTTAGAAGCTGGTCACTGAACACCTGACAGGCATTCAGGCAATCCAACCAACTGAACAAAGACGTCAGCTGCAGTTCTAGCAGACCTGCAGCTGCCTTCTGGGGCTGTTGGCAAATGAAATACATTTTATTTCAAGCAACATTCAACAAAGGTCTTGTTAGCTTAAAAGGTTAATCGATTGGACAATAGACGGTTGCTACATAATTTACGTGCGCTCTGGCTGCAATGAATAATAATTTGATACATGGGGCAACGAATTCCCAGTGCTCTAATCCTTGGTGTGGAGTCCTTGGCCAGCTTATTGAACTGCAATCGGGACTTACTTAGAAGCACACAAATTGAATAAAATGTTGAAAAGGCGCAGCAGCCAGCACAAAAATAAAGCAGCAAAGGTTAACGCCGCCGTCTGGTCTGGGCCAGGACAACGATGACGTCGTCGATAACACTATTAGGAGATGAGAAGGCAAGGCATAACTTTCTGCACTTTTCTTAGCCATGCCACTGACTGGCCTGTCTGCAAGACTGTCAGCTTCGCAGTCGCCGCCATCATCATCGTCGCAGTTGCTGTTGTGGTTTGCAGTCAACGTAAAATATTGACTTGATAAAAAGTTTGGTTTTTTCGACTTCATTTGCCGGGCACAGAACACGGATGGCAGGACGCTGCTCGGCAGCTGGCTCGGCTGTCACATGTCAGACTCTTTTGTGTCTCATCTACACGTTTTATGAATTATAATAAAATGATTGGCTTGTTCTTATAGCTGTCTTTAAATCTAGACAAACCAAAACTAGAGGATCACGCCTAGATCAACACGTCTGATGACGCTCAACTTAAATTTACGCTTTTACCATTTAAGGTAAGCAACAAAATGTCAGCCTTTTATATGCTGCAGAAACATCACTTGAATATGAAAATTATACGCAAACAATTGACTATTTGTTGAGATTCAGTTGACTGAACCGAAATTAAAGACTCTGATTATGCCCATGGACAGACATAATGAAAATATAACACAGCAGACAACTCTTTGTTAGCAGCCGCAATGCTTGTGGGCTGTTATATTGGCTTCTGCATTGGCCTTTATGCCTGAGCGAATATTTTTCCAAATCATTAACAAGTCAGCCTCAAGGAAAAAGAGTCCACAGTTGAACATAACTGAATTAAATGATATTTCAATACGGATTACACCCGTTCACTCTGACCGGGTCCGCATTCGATGCAGCCCACTTTGCTTATTAAAATGAATTATTTGCTATCCATTTACATTAACAACGGCAATATTTGTACCTTTATAAGTATGTAAACGGAATTTATTATTTGAGTGTTTAAAAGTTGATTATATTGATTTATTAACTGAACTTTGCAGGCGAGAAATCAGAGGAACTAGTTAACACAACTGCCTAACATTCAGAGTTCACGGTACACAGTTGAAAATCTAGAGTCGCCAAATGCACCCTATACACAGAGCATTGGGTAGCCGGATGAAGCCGACTTCTTCTTAGTTGCTTAAAAAACTAAGTTTACCCTTCCATCACATTTAAAAAGCGACTGACACTTTGGGTTGCCTGCAACTGCCGCCTGCTGTCAGACTCGCTTTTGTTTCTAGGCATTTCTTGTCCTGTTGCAACTGTGCTTCACCTACGTAACACTTCATTTGCCAACTTGCAACTTTCGAGGGTTGCATGTTAGTGTCTATGGGTGTGAGTGTGTGCGTGTTTACGAAATAGTTATGTACTTACTTTTACTTGAACTCTACAGCTAGCTTTCTTATGCTTGCACGTAAAAGAGTTGCGGCAACTTTTTTGCCCGTCCTGTTTTTGACTGCATTCGCCGGGTATGTAACCCCCCGAAACATCATCAAGGCCTACGTACTTCCCTACCCTGTCTGGCATGTGCCGTCTCTGCAGCTCTCACTTTAGTTTTGCATTAGTTCGCTGCTGCTGTGCTCGTGCCTGCGCTATCTGCTCGTGAAGCCTGTAATTTATTTCTTGTTTTGATTGAAATAT